TCCGAGCTGCTGGCAGAGGATGCCTTGGCGTTGGTGATCCGCACCATCTTGGTGTTGGCTGCACGGCTCCACCAATTTCCAAAAGGCGAGGAAATGCTTGTATGTTGCAAATCTAAGAATGTAATATTGTTCATGTTAGACATAGTTTTGTTTCTCAAATTAGCTTCCCCAAATGAAAAGTGTTTATCAAACTAGTGGCCATAACAACATCCTGATAGCCTTATAAACAAACCTTATAAACAAACCTGGTGTAGAAACTAATGTCCTCGTCCGACCCTTCCAGGCGTTGTATCCCGAAACGAGATCTCAGTTGTAACACTTCCAGCTGGTGTTGGAGCTCCCTAACCTGGATTTTCAAGGCTTCGTTCTCGTCGGCCACTTGATTTGCCATCACTGCCGTCACTGGATTTACAGAGTAGTCATGATCCGGTGGCGCAAGTGTTTCCACCTCGTACTCAGCTGTCAAGTCCGGGGTGGGACTCTCTGCCCTCGGCCGACGCTCCCAAACATTACGTCTTGGTGTAGGTAGCTCGTAGTTATTCCAAGCAAAGAGAACAGGTGTAGCTCCTTTCTTTACTCTGTTCAGTCCTCCAGCTGTGACCAATAAGTCTCCTGGTCGAAAATGCCTACTACACACACGGGTATTTGTTGTGGGGCTGAAATTATCCCTACGGACCTTGATCAGCCACTGAGCCTTTACCTCAGAATTAATAGGAAATTAATGGAAACTTATCTCCCGATTATAACGGGACTTATTTGTACAAAGGGGTACACAGCAATGTAGTGCCGACTTTCTTACCCGCTGGAAGGCCAATCGCTTTTCTTTACCGCTCATCATCTATGCTATCTATCGATATCTGTATGCTAACTGTATGCTATGTATCTTGCTATCTATCTATCTATCTCTCTCTCTCTATCTCTCTCTCTCTATCTATCTATTTATCTATCTATCTCTCTCTCTCTATCTATCGTATGTATATCGCTAACTCCCCAAACAACTCCACACCGAAGACCGGAAGTACTCGGGCTCACACCCAGCCGCCGGAAGTTGATAGACGCCATCTTGTGCAACTAGCCTAATATGGAGACTTTGTCAACCTGCAATTTTCTTTTGGCCACTTGGAGGTGGCAGAAACCATCTGACATAATTGCTAAGATGATGAATTAGACAGTTGCTTATTTTCACATTCAGCAGATTCAGAATATCTCAGGATTTTTTATTTATGTTTCCATAACTGGTGGAAATCTAATTCTCACTCTTTTCTTGACTCTTTTTTGGTCCCCACCAGCCCCTGAAGGAACATATCTGTAGCTTTAGCTGCTAAACGTGCTGCATGTTCTACAGCTAGCCGTTACCCCTTAGTGTGTACTTCCTGTCTGTCTTCTTCTGTGGATTTCTCTGACATCCAGCGCTCAGTTTGTTTACCTCTTTCCTTCTCTTGCGCTGTTTTCCTTTTCTCTACAGTTAAGCCATCATGACTCCAACGTTTTTTGCTCGCAACAAATATAAAAATGTAATTAAAAAAGTGTTCCATGGTGTTTTCTGATGGAGTTAACTATTGTTTGTCCACAACTGACGTTAAATATACTGGACTTCTTTTTTTAGGACTAATAGGACTGCACATAATCCCTTGATCATCCATAGTAGTGGTCTGTTCTCCTGAACAGCGGTCTGTTAGTGAGAATTAACCTTCAAAATGTCCAAATTCACCAATCAGAATTGAGTATTCATGTTAAAACATGCTAAAACAATAAATTGTCGATACATTGTTATAGGCAGTTTTAAAGCAACAGGTCACAAAGGAGAGATGCTGTGAAAAATAATTGATCTTTAAAGCAAAGAAGTCTTTTCACTGCAGTGCATGAAGGACTGCTGGATTGCTTTACAATAAAGAATTGCTTTATGGCATTAAACAGAAGGAAGTTCAGACACCAATCCAAGTTTTACTTCACTATTGCTTAATATCTTATAAAAGCTTATAATAGCTTTTTTGTACCTTCAACCAAATTCCTGTAGACCCACATCTGGGTTGAAGAAGAGGACATATGGTAACATCCTCTTTGAGACAGGAAGTATAGGGTTTCAGCGAAATATGGTCGTGATTTTGAGAAATAAGAATTCAATACATACAGTTCAGTCTTTGAAGAGTGTGGTGAGATCACTTCTAAACCAACCAACCTCTCCCAAACCTTCAAACTAGATAAAACATTTTAAGATATGTAAATAATGCTTTATATGATATTAAAAGAGACTGAAGTGGAAGTAAGGACAGCAAACAGACTGGCTGGGGGGAGGGTGGTGTTGTGGGTGAGTTGTTGTCAGAGACAGGAAACATGTGAGCTGAAGATCCGTAGAGGACTTGGCGGCACGGATACACACACACACACACACACACACACACACACGGAAGCTCTTACAGGACACACAGGACTTGGCCCTCGCAGGCGACGTATCACGAGGAATCAAATTAGATGTTGCTGCGCAGAGCGGCCAGAACAAGGCCAGGGATTTTCTCAAGGAATCAAAAATAAAGTTGACTTAATCTCAAGGATCATTGTCAATTCAACCAGAGTTAATATGTAAAGAAGCCCATGTGGCTAATTAAACGGGTCATTCATTCTCTGCATTTTGTCTATTACACTTTCCTGGCAAGGTATCCTCGGCCAATAGGGGGGGTCAATCTACTGTATCAGTGTGACACATGTCCAGTCTGCGTTTGAGCTTGTGATTTACTGGTTCTTAGTAATCTCATGTATCGCACAGGCTCAAATGGCTTATGATTTGAACAACAACATACACATTATATCAAATTAGAAATGTGATCTCGACAATAGCTTCCATGCTAAATGTGTGAGTTTTTAAGTACATATTACCGCCACTATACATTAAAGCAAACAGCATTGTTAAACAAATTTAGACCGTGATGAATTACTGTCTTGTTTGAGCCCTGATAAAAAGCCAGCTGCTGCTCTCCAGCTATGTGAGCGCTCTCCTGTCATGACTCAGTGCTGAGTGGGACATTAGAGGGTCTCTTCCTAGTATCCGGCTCAGTGTTAGAGGGACGTGCATGCATTTCTACATTGGCTCTGGACTGAGTTTAGCCTCATGAGAACTGCTGATAGCAGCCGGGGTCCCGAGAGGTGGCAGGGGAGTTCAGCTGAGTTAATCCAGCGGACAGGGTGCCCTGTCAGTCAAGGCGTGGGGACTGACCTGAGAGGGGTTGTGTTTGTGGAACGCTGGGGAGTGTACTCAGCTGGGTGGTCCTCCCCCCCCACACACCCCCCCTCCCGTTTAAAAATATATATATAGGCAAATGAGGATTCTGACTTTAGCATGTGCCAGGTTTGGTCAATTAGCCTGACGTGAGAGAGCCACCTGGTGGTCACATGGGCAGTTGCATCTCCGAGACAATCCATAAAGTGAACATAAATGTAACATTAATAGCAGAAAAAAATATGGGAAAGATTTTACATTTTTTCATCCATTATTGTTTTAATTGTTTTAATTAATTAGATTTGGATTATTTATTTTGTTTTCAGCAAATACAACCTAAACACACAAATAACCAATATACTGTAAAGTAAACAATAACAAGTCATTACTTTCAAAGCAGTGTCAACCAAAGCAGTGAAAGTGAAAAGGAGATGGCTAAAGACGTATCTTATCACGCATACCCTTTTCACATTATTTGTACAATTCCAAATAATTGTGTACACTGGAAATGAAAGAAATAAACAAAATACAATTTTATTTTTTATTTCATTCACAATAACAAAATGATTTACCTGCAAAAAGTTGCAAAAAAAAGAAGAAGCTGTGTTAATGATCTTATTTTTAAATATTGGTCGTAACAATTGCTTTGAATCTATTAAGTCTCTTACAAATTGGTACACAAATCAACCTCTTTCGTTCAACATTTTTGGTTTCCATTTCTTCTATTTATTTTTGTAAAAGCCTCCTTATTCATACTGAATCACTCACATTTGAAAAAACTCCTGGCTTAAGTCTGAAAACATCTATTATTGTGCAGTGTTTATACATCCAACATATCCCTACCATTGATATGGTGATTTAACTTTTCTAAATTTAGAAAATATATTTTTACCTTTACCTTTCAACCAGGCATTGTGCATATTACTTTTAATATATATTATATTTCAAAGTGAATATCTACCCTCAAATAACCATAAAACGGCAGCTAGTGATCATGTTCAAATCTTCCATTGTATATGTACCCTGATATCTGAAACATTTATATAAAGTAAATGCAGTAAGTCCCACCAACCAGCCCACTGTGGTTTAGTAAAGGTACAGGACAGGTAAAGGTGAAGCGGGAGGGTTGGACATGTGAGTGTGTGGTCAGTGTGTGTGCAGATGTTCCTGCAGTGATGGCTCAGCAGGTGAAGGTAGCAGCAGCCGCAGAGCTCTACTCTGACATGGAGACTGTCAGCTCCACTGCAGGTGAGTCAAAAACTGTTTGATTTGTATTATCAGTCCATCATGTCATCCACCAATGATAGAATATCCTGTACAAAACAGCAACGCAGAGAGACCTGCAAACAATCTATCTTACTCGCCATTTTTTTTAAAACAGCAAAGGTACAGTGTAGATAAAAGTTAAAGTAAAAAAGAGTAGACTTACATAATAAAGAGGCGAGCACACGTTAATAAAAACAAATCTAATATGTACCCATCCATGGTAAATCGTATGAAGCAGCATTTTATAATAGCCATTTCACATGTAAAAGTATTGAAGGAAATACATTGTCTCCCACAGTTCAAGTTTTTCAAGAGGACTTTAAATGTCATTAACATCAAAATTATTGTATTCATTGCTATGACATTGACTGCCATCAAAACGTATGTCAGAAATGTATTCTCTAAGGATAATCTTCATGAGATAACAATCGAGAAAACAACAGTGTGAGCATAAATCCCTTGAGATATCCTCCTGTTTTCCCCAAATCAAACAAATGGAAAAAATGAACAGTCCAAGATCTAGTGTTATATTACACAACAATGACACAACAAATAACCAGAAACAACCACGAAATAAGGAAAATTGTTACATTTAACGATGTCCATCTTTACTTTGACTACCAGCGCAAAACATTGTCTCATAGCTGCTTTAAAATAAAAAATGTTGCCATAAAAAACTGCACTGTACCTTAAATTGTATTAGTTACCAATTGTAATGAGCACATGTACTTTAATAACAGTATCAAAATATGAGTGAAGTGATGTTCTATTTAACCCAATCTAACAGTTTGAGTAAGTAACCAGGTTTGTTAAAATAAGATACTTGAAATCTTTGAGGGAAAAATAAATCTATACATTTGGTAAAGTCATGAATTAGCTTGTTCTGTCTCCTCCCTCACCGCCATGCTGTGAACAGACGAGGTCAGCTCAGTGCACCAATCTGTCCGATTAGTCACTTTGTGGTAATAATCTTCAGTCAAATCCCCCAGTTTCTGGTATCTTTTTCTCACGAGCTTCCCTTTGGCAGCTAAAGCTCCGTGGCTCTCAGGTTGCCTGGTGGCAGTGGGAACCATAAAGTCAGTGTAATCCCTCTTTTTTATAAGTATTTTCTTCCTCCTGAGAACAGATATAGGAGAGTCGCTGAGGAAGGGCGCTTTGTGTGAGACCTCCATGGGGGTCGGCTTGGGCAGGCGGAGCCGGGCCTACCCCTCCCCGGCCCGGAGACGACACCGCACCACCTTCAGCCACAAGCAGCTGGAACATCTGGAGGTGGCCTTTGGACAAAACCAGTATCCTGACATCTACTACAGAGAGGAGCTGGCTCGTGTTACCAAGCTCAACGAGGCTCGCATACAGGTGGGACCGGCTGATAGGGAGAGGCTGGGGGCGGGTGCAACACTTTTTGCGTTTCTCTCAATTATTTTGAGACTATAGAGTGGTGCAGTAAACCCTAAAGTCCTAAAACCTGGAAATGAGTTAGCATTCACCACTTCCAGATCCCTTCTCAAAGTTTGTGAGTGCACACAAGCTTAAGAGATTTCCCCCTTTTGTTCTACGACATAAAATACGTCAGTCGATGCACCACTCGGGAATGCCTGTTAACAAGTGACTAAATAAACTACCAGACGTCATCAAGCTAAACATTAGCCGCCTTTAGCTTAGCGGTGGTAACGTGAAGTCATGTGACTGTGATTAAATGTGCTTAAAGCCAAATCTTTATTTTATTTTTGTATTTCGTTTCATGTAACATTTATACAATACATCTTTTAGGTATTGGTCAAATTTAAATATGTATTTTAAATGTATGAACTGGATTTTGGTTATCAGAGAAACAAGCTAAGCAGACGTAAGCCACGCCGAGCTGCTTTAAGAAATTTCTTTTTAATATGAACTTTCTTTGCTCTGTGTTTTTACTGGCTTTAATTTACTGGTGAGTTTGCTTTGGAGAGGACACATCTGTGGAACTATTGGTGGTCTAGTACAGGGGTTCCCAAACTTTGCCATGCCAAGGACCCCCATATAGCATTATCCTCTGGCGGGGACCCCCCTGTTGCAATTTTCTTTTTTAAATGAGTACATTATGATGGAAAATATGACAAGTTAATTATACAGCTTAATACATTTTCTTAATATATATTTGTATTAATAATCAGTTATTCTTCTAAACATTTTTTGTATTTATCGTACGCACAGTGCGTTGCCACTACATTTGGGGCCTTCCGCCTGATCAAAGCTGTCACTCGGCTTTTTTTGCCGGTCATAGCCCCACTGCCCCCATCTGAACACACACCCATACAACGAGACCAGTCAAGTCCATTTGTCAACAAAGTTATCTTCTGAAATAAATCAGATTTATGCAAGCAATTATGCGACATTTGCTACATCCGTGCTCTCATCCAGCTGCAGAGCCAAATATTCACTAGCTCTCACTTGCTCCAAAAGCTGAGCAGATACTCAGTTTCACTCTCAGTAGCGGCAGCTCGATTCTGATTGGATTGAAGGGCGGTCGTGTGATTTAAAAACAAAAAATATTAAAAGACTGGCATCAAAGGACACATAAATTGATAAATATGCAGTTATAAATAAATAAATAAAAATAAAAAGTAACTTACATTTTTTTTTTTTTTTCCTTTCCCTCAAACTTTGCGCAACCCCCCTGGCGGTCGGGGCCCCCATTTTGAAAAACACTGGTCTAGTAAACATTTTAATAACAATGTTTCTGTTTTTGTCTTTAACCTGTCATGATCTCTGTCTCAGCAGGTTTGGTTTCAGAACAGAAGAGCCAAGCAGAGGAAGCAGGAGCGAGCCTCCCACAAGGTTCTCCCGGTGGGTATGATGTCGGGCCACAGGGCGCTGCTGGGGGGGATGCACGTCCAGCCCCCCACCATGGCCCGGCAGTACTACACCCAGTCCCTGGCTCACATCCCCCGCCTCCCCCCTATGCTGCCCTCCGGGGCGTACCCCTGCCACCCGGGCCAAGTGAGCCAATGCCCCTGCCCCATTGTCCCATCACAGCCAGCCCCCCAGCGGCAGCATGAGGACTGGTACAGCTCGCTGAGGGGCAACCTCCCCTCCCCCATGTTCACCCTGGCCTCCGTGCAGCCTCTGGACCCCGCCTCACACTGGAGCTGAGAAGGAACAGACCTACTGTATAAAGCCACAAATTACATTAAAATAACTTTTAGACAATTCAGTGATCGTCATAATTTAATGGGAAACTCATTTCATTTTCACATCATATCGAAAGTTGGACGTTTCAAATAGCCTTAAATGTGTAGCATTGTATCAAAATCTGAACCTTAAGTGGTAAAATGCTAACTCATTTCTGGCTTTGGGACTCATTCCTGCACCATTCTATTTCTTTCACAACATTTTCAGCCATTACATGTTCATCCTTACCATGTTTTAAGTAATGTATAGCACATAATGTAAAACTTCATTTGAAAGAAAAACCTTTTTAGTCAATCTGACAATAAAGATAATTTTGAGTGCCTTTTTAAACGTGATTTCATGAATGCAACGTGGTAGGGATCCCTTTACCATAATCTAATAAAAAAAACACGAGAAATTCTTTAGATGATACTTTTTAATATCTCACATTTCAAAGACAACACATTTTTTTTGATATATTGATTGATGAATCAATACTGGATGACACAATATAGAATTCATTTATCCATCAAAAAAAGATGGATTCCATAAAGATCGACACACACACAGACCTGACATGTTTGATCTGTTTCTGTTTTAAAGGCAGCTAATGATTTTTACTGGAAATCTGTCCGATTTCTAAACAGCTGCATCAACCAGTGTGCTTTGAGTGGAGCTTATCCAGTGATGAAGGAGCAGCAGTATGGCGCTGCTGCTTTACATTCACTCTGTGAGACTTATGTCAAGTATCAGCTGGCTACAGTGAAGAGGATTGTGATTGGCTCATATATTTATTATGCTATTATACAGAAGTTATAAGAGGCAAGTGAAAGAAAAAAAATGAGTGATCCATTTATGTACTGATTGTTGCTCTATGATTTGATTACTTTAACACAGATGAAACATACGGTTTGGCCGGGATAATATTTCTAAGATCCTTCATTGTATTACGACAGTTGGAGAAAAAAAGTTTTGCAAGCTGATTTTTTTGTGCGTGTTTGTCATTGTAATACTTATTTTGGCCACAAAAGGGCACCACAACTCAATGTTTTAAAAGAGAAAACAAATATTCATGTGTGGCAAACTAAATCCAAAGTGTGGTCATCAAAATCTTGATTCCACTTGATTCTAGAGAAAAACCAAAAACTTAGCTGACAAAAACGTTTTTCCATCCGTTTTCACACATTTTTTAAAGTAACTCAAATTATCCTTGCCAGAGTTTTTTTTCACCTTGCCAAGCCTTTTCCCCCAAACTGTTTCATAGAAGGAGAGGAAAATAAACATATGCGATATAATTTTATGCAGGCAAAAACAATTTCTTGGCTCCTTCATTTGCCTCTCAGGGCTTCCGTAATTGTCATGGAGCTATAGCCACAGAAAATCATCTATATTTGGTGCCTAGCGAGCAACCTCAAAAATAAACTAACCTCATCAGTTCTGCAAAGTTTTACACACACACACACACACACACACACACACACACACACACACACACACACACACACACACACACACACACACACACACACACACATGTGATTCACAGAAGGAATCTTTGGTCCACCATGGTGAGCGTCACACAGCGAGGGTGTGTTTGCTCGTGTTATAAATGTGTTGTACCCCTCAAAGAAGGACACACACTATAGAGGTCCTGTATGTAAGAGGGCCAATTCAGCCAAAATTACAACATAAATTCTCTCATTTCCCTTTAGTAGCAATGCAAGAAGTTTTGGCTGTCATTTGCCACTGTGTTATTGATAGTTTTACTAGTACTAAATGAAAGTATTGGGCTTTAATTGTATCAGACTTTTACAAGCAGTAGTCTCTAGAAAAAAAAATAGCAATCTATTTTTATAATCAAATTAAAGTTATGTCATTTTTCAACACATAAATGAGAGAAAATGCAGTTTCAGCTCTTAAAATAATGGTTTCCCGCATTTAACTGTTTTGTATCATATACAATGAGGGTATGTATCTGTGGTTAGAAACCCACCAGGGGTTAATATAAACTGTGTGTGTTAGTGATATTGGTTGAACTGACTCTCAAAAAAAGGCATGATTTCAAGGAATCTACAAAGAAATGTCCCTGCAAGTGTTCACCAGTCAGACTCGCATCACGCCATTTTGTTTTCCCCCCCTTCTTTTTTGTTACTTAATAAATTAAATCCCAGGTGGCAGCTCCTCAGCTCTCTCCCCTCTCTGCAGATTCCTTGCCGTTGTTGTTGTTGTTCTTGTTGACATGAAGAATTTCAGATACCTCACTCCAGTGATTTGGCAAACTCTGCATAATCTATATACCCGTCATTGTTTTTGTCGTCGTCCTTAAGAACATCATCGATAAGGACGATGAGGTCCTCCTCTTTCATTGGCTGGCTGTGCTCCCCTCTCTCCTGAGAAAGATATAAGAAGATAAAATGAGGTTTATCACTGTATATGTGTAGCAACCACCCATTATTTACGAGATAGATTTGGTTATTTATATCAGCATGGAAAGTTATCTGGGTTCCTGTTTAGTATTGCTTTTCTTTTGCAAGTTTTCTGAAATCTGAAAGTGAGTTGAATGGTATCTAAGAAGATCAGAAAAAGTTGAAGCCATCATTGTAGTTGACATTTCTCTAATATTGTAAACTTTCATAAAACATTTAGATTCTTAAAAGCAAATTAATTCCAGCTGCTATACCATCCGTGGTTGTTAAAGCAGAGGAAACAAGGTCACAGTTTACTTGATGGGAGTGACACTTTTTTAAATAGATTACAATGAGGGAACCATTTAAATGTGTTTTGCGGTTTGGAAAAGCTTTTCATTAATGAAAGAGTGTTTACTCTTACTAAAGTATATGATATATAAACGTATAAACACACATGTCCTCTTTAGTCCATCCTCTAGGCGAGACACTACAGGGGAACACCTTGTCTTCTTTTAGACAAGTGTAAAGGAAACCTCAAAAATAGATATTTTAATGTTGCATCTGCTCCTTTGACTAATGAAATGTAACTTTTCAGAAAACATTTAATTAAAAAAAGATTGTCTTAATGTTAGTGATCAAGTAGGGAATAAATACATGTTAACACTTTCATGCCCATATACTACATTAGTTAAACACTTATCCACCAGAAGCATGTTCCCTTAACATATGAGGCATTTCCACCACATCCAAAATAATACATACGTATACCCACCTCTCTGTGCACATGTGAGATGGCTGTGGCCAGCTCCAGCCCGTCCAGCAGGTCGTTGCCGTCATAATCGTGCATCTTGAAGTAGTGCAGCTGAAGCTCCTGTGGCGTCATGTCCGTCTCCGGTTTGTCTATCACTCCCTCTAAATGCTCCATGATGTGGCTGGGACACAAGAAGAGGACAGTCAAATCAACACAGATTACATAGACAGTGGAGCCCAACGTGTCCAAAGTCCTCCATTCTGAGCAAACAAGTCCTGCATGGAGGTGTCAGAGAACATTTTGGAATGTGGACATAACACTCACTCTTTGTCCTGGACCATGTTTCTGTCCAGGTGACCGTGAGAGGTCACGTGCGCGGCACTCTCCACCACCTGCCGCTGATGCGGCTGCTCCACCTCCGAGTGGACACACAGTAGATAGGAGGACAGGAGGAGCAGCAGACCCCCCCACCGAGAACTACACCGCCTCATTCTGCTGGGCACAGAGACAAAGAAAGCAAGTTAAAGTGGACCTATCATGCTATATTTGAAACATATATTATAGGGCCATACCTATACAAAACATGTCTGTGAAGTCTTTTTTTTCAAAATACCAAACAGTTCACCCATTGTAGCCATGCCTCATACTGCTCAAACCCCTCTTTTGCAGCCCAGTTAGAGAAACGCGGATCTTGGGTCCTTAGCTTGAAAAAAAAAAGAAGAGGAGACGGCGCTAATGCCTGATCAGAATTCTACCGGAGATAAAGTTAAATTCTGTTGTGATAAAACGCCATCCTGTTTAAACCATGTCAAGGATTATTTCTGAAATAGTATGGAGCTCAAATGCTTTTTCTCTTGCAGGTTTATCACAAGGTGAGTTCTTTTTTTTTATTTCCTGCTTTTTAAAACACATGTGCTCTACACAGTACAGGTTAGCTCTGAGTGTTAGCGAATCTTGCTAATGTAAACAAAGACGAGATTACGTCCAAAACACGTCAGGCATTGTTTCTGATAGCAACTTTCCGTCCATCCGACGTCACAGCGGATGGAAATCTGTATCCGCTCGTTGTACACCCGTTTTTAAAATATTTGGGTACAGAGGAAAAGAGAGAGGGTTTTATTTTCTGACGCTGCGTGAGTTCCCCGACGCACCGGGGACACATATTTATGTATAAAAGACACATCACAAAGTGCATTTTGCATGATAGGTCCCCTTTAAGACTTAAGACTACTGTGTTGTATAAATCGATGGTCCATAGTACATTATACACTCACTGGCCACTTTATTAGGTACACCTGTTCACCTGCTCGTTAATGCAAATATCTAATCGGCCAATCACATGGCAGCAACTCAATGCATTTAGACATGGTCAGGCGACCCGCTGAAGTTCAAACTGAGCATCAGAATGGGGAAGAAAGGTGATTTAAGTGACTTTGAACTTGGCATGGTTATTGGTGCCGGACGGGCTGGTGTGAGTATTTCACAAACTGCTGATCTACTGGGATTTTCACACACAACCATCTCTAGGGTTTACAGAGAATGGTCAGAAAAAGGGAAAAATATCCAGAGAGAGGCAGATCTCTGGGCGAAAAAAGGGCTTGTTGATGCCAGAGTTCAGAGGAGAATGGCCCGACTGGTTCAAGAAGATAGAAAGGCAACAGTCACTCAAATAACCACTAGTTACAACCAAGGTCTTCAGAAGATCATCTCTGAACACACAACACGTGGAACCTTGAAGCAGATGAGCTACAGCAGCAGAAGACCACACCGGGTGCCACTCCTGTCAGCTAAGAACAGGAAACTGAGGCTACAATTTGCACGGGCTCACCATACTGGACAATAGAAGATAGGAAAAAGGTTGCCTGGTCTGAATGGCGACATCCGGACCGCAGGGCCTGGGCAGGGCTGCACGATTCATTGAAATATATATTCAATGACAATGGTGGGATTTTGGGAGGTTCATATACCACAAGGTTACATAAAAGTTAACTGGAATATTAACATTTGTGGTATCATATTTATCATTATTATTGAAAAATATGTAAAATTATTATGATGGGATTTCTTTTGCTCGGATCTCTATGAAACAAATAAGTTTTTTTTTACTTATAAGTCAAAATATCTTGTAAGTCAAAATATCTCTGCAGCTCCATATTAATTAATTACATTTTTTATTTAAAACATATTTAGCCTTTATCAAATGTTGTTGCTTCTTGCGATGTTAGTATTGCACTTGTCGTATTGCGATTTCGATCAAATTTAGATTAATTGCGTAACCGTAGTTTATGTTCCCTAAATGTTCACATTTGTTTCTACCTTTCAACAGTCTGCTTCCTTCACACCCTATTTTACCCTATAAAACCCTTTAACTGCCAGCACCACCATTTGGTAGAGCACATTTTGTGTCTTGATAACTTGTTGAACTCCATCTGATTCAGCCAGCTCTACCCTTTGGTTAACATGTTATGCACAAAACAACCTCGAGATGTCACTGTGGTTCAAACAGAATGCCCTTCAGCTAGCTTCCACTGAGGAAGTTGGTATGCTAAAAAATCACTGCTGAAGAAATCACTCTTTTTGGTCAACTTTTGTAAGGTAACCATATCCTTTTTGACATTTTTTAGTTGCAGGGCACTGACTGAACATAATTAGATAACTTAATGGACAAAAAAAGTTTTAACAAAGGTGTAATAATTTTTTTGAAAATATGCTCAACCAATCGGTCGAATTGGCCTTTTATGGTAAGCTAGCAATATGACTTTTTCAGAGTTTCAGAGATGATTTCCAATAAAATATGGTAAATAAATGGCTAGATTCATGGTAATATTACTAAATCTAGTACTGCCTTATGAGTCTCAGAGTGAAAGAGTGATAATAATTGATATAGCACCATGGCATACAGATGAGCAAGTTAGGCCAACACAGGATATAGACATTTGCTGTTAGGCCAGTGGTTTCCTGTTAGGCCAATTCAGCATAAAGTAAGATGAGCAAATCTTTTTTTTATCATGAAAAACACTTTACATTACTTTTTTTCCATTTTTTTTTTTTTTTTACAATTATAATTTATTATCTTTTATGAATATATCTGGTTGTATATATTGCTCATTTTCCAAAAAATAAACAAATGTATTCGAGTTTGTGCTTTATTTGAGTTTGATGCATACAAATACTGTACTGTATATGATGATTGTTGAAAATGTACTTTTACCATATAAGGCCAGCTCGACCAGTTGGTAGAGGCTCATAAAAACAAAACTGTGTTGTCAGTCAAAAAAAATAAATGTTTGTGCTTATTTGTGGCCCATTTGATAAGAAAATGCAAAAAAAAAATTTTTCCATAGCTTTTTTTCTTGGTCCGGCAGTTAAAGGGTTAAATCAGATTAATGTCCTAGCCAATTATTGGAAAGATTGCCATGACATTACTTACAGACGTCCATGATTGCTAGTCCTAAAGATTTAAATGGTTTCTTGACTTGATCTCTATCTAGCACCACCATAAATTGACTTAATCAATTATTGGATGTATTACCATGCCATTTAGGTCAGGCATCCATAACATGGACATGACAGACAATTGCAAAAGCTTTGATCCCCTGACCTTTCCTTGAGCACCATCATCATGTCTGAGTTTTAAATTGTCCTTACTTGTTTATGTCTACAAACAGTACCTTATACACAAACATGTTTACCACGAGCAGCCACAAGGGGGCGTAGTGCAGCCAGATTAAACCCTCACATGTCTGTAGACTGGTTAAATGAAGGATTTAGGAATCTGTTTGGAATGAGCTCCACCAGTTTAGAATAATTTGAGCGAAGCTATTTGCAATTCTATTGCTTGCCTTCTTCCACCCCGAGTAAACCTCCAGACCATCTGTCTAAGTGTGTGGAGGGAAATGAGTGGCACTGAAATAGTAGCACTCTCTCCTCCCTCAGCCTGAACACTGTGGATGCACATAAGACAAAAATACCTGGCACGTGTCTACAGATGCTTAATTAAAGCAGGTGGTGACATCCTGCATAATCCAAAATAACTTACTTAAAACACATCATTATGAACACCAGTTTTGTTTGTGAGCAAATCTGCAAATACAGTGGTTCGTGTCTGCTCTGAAAAAGCAGTTTTTTCCAAAATTTCCATGGACGCTGAGACTCATGGGAAGTTACAATTTAATTTCACAGGAAGAAATATAGAACATTAAGCATATCTGTGTTGTTAAATAAGAGACTCATTCATTAAAGTTAACATTTAACGCAAACTTAGATCAGAAATTTTACTTCAATCTGTTTCTAGATTAGTGGAAATATATAGAATAGTTGACTATCAAAACCATCAGGTGGCATTATTTTATAGTAATCATTCGGCTGTGGTTTTAGCACAGTGCTGTAATGAATCTTTAGCAATGCCTCCCACAACCCAGCTAAAAGCACCCCCATTGTTCCTGCAGTCAAACAGTATCTCAATCTCAGATGTATGGAGAGAAGTCAATTCAGAATTGGAGACAGAGCCCCCATTCATTCATTTTGAAGTCGCTCACTGGCCATGAAGCCAAAAGGACTCGACTTACCATGATCATCGGGTTATCTTCACATCTATGGCGCCCCAGTATACAGAAACATCTTTTTGGCGGACCCAGAAGTTGTAGTTACATTGTTGGCTATTATGGAAATAAAGGATTTGAATTGAAGAAGACATACTTTATTAATCCCCAAGGAGAAATTAAGGGTTTAGTGTCTCTCTACTTTAAAGAGTCCTCTCCTGCTGATGTTCAGGTGTATATCAGTATGTAGTGTCTCTACTTTAAAGAGTCCTCTCCTGCTGATGTTCAGGTGTATATCAGTATGTAGTGTCTCTACTTTAAAGAGTCCTCTCCTGCTGATGTTCAGGTGTATATCAGTATGTAGTGTCTCTACTTTAAAGAGTCCTCTCCTGCTGATGTTCAGGTGTATATCAGTATGTAGTGTCTCTACTTTAAAGAGTCCTCTCCTGCTGATGTTCAGGTGTATATCAGTATGTAGTGTCTCTACTTTAAAGAGTCCTCTCCTGCTGATGTTCAGGTGTATATCAGTATGTAGTGTCTCTACTTTAAAGA